GGACTAATGCATCGACCCGAGCATTTAAAAATTTCAAGGTCACATGTAGCTTGAAATGTAGATGCACCATCATCATAGCGAGGTATCTTGTTTCTTATTGAAGGAGCAGTGGATTTAAAATACAAGCTAAGGTTATTTGTAACCTCTTCAACTAGGAATGCCTCGACCATGGCAGCTTCAACTTGAGCCTTATTTCTAATTTTCTTCTTAAGTTTTTGGATACACCTATGAAGTAACAACATACCCATGATCAATAAACTAAGGTCCTTTAACTTGGACAGCAGCTTACATAACTTATTTACATAATTACCTCTCATATGGATAGCTCCAACGAGCTAGGACTGGCCCTCCTAACCTTGCCTCATAAGGTAGATGGATGATCAAATGTTGCATAACATTGAAGAAACCAGGAGGGAATATCTTCTCTAATTTGCAAAGAAGCACTGCAACATTTTGTTCTAGAGAACGGACAACATCTTTGCTAAGCTCTTTCGCACACAATTGGCGATAGAAGTAACTAAGCTCAACCAAAGAGCGCCATACATTGTCAGGCAAGAACCCGCGGAACACAACAGCAAGCAACCGTTCAATAAAAATGTGGTAGTCATGACTTTTTAGGCCTAAAACCCTCTTTTGCTCAAGGTTTACACCACGCCTTATGTTTGCAGCATATGCATCAGGAAACTTTAAATCTTGGATCCATTTGAGAATGGTTGGCTTGTCATCTTTACCAATACAGAATGGACCTCTTGGCCTATCCCACTTCCCATTGTTTCTTTGCACCAAATGGAGCGAAGGACGATTACAAATCTGAGCTAAATCTAGCCTAGCCTTCACATTATCTTTGGTCTTATCTCCTATATCAAAGCATGTGTTCCATATGGCTTCAGCCATATTCTTTTCATTGTGCATCACATCAATATTGTGAGGTAGAAGAAGTTTCTGGAAATATGGAAGCTGCCTAAAGCAAAGTGCATGTGTCCAATTATGCAATTTTCCATAGGTATCTGAATCACCTACAAATCTATCCAAATGGTGTTGCATTTCCTCTCCTGTTAAGATACTAGGAGGCTCCTCAGAAACCCTAGTGTTCTTACGGAATGCATTTGCTTGTTGTCTAAATTCATGATCAACAGGCAGGAACTTCCTGTGGCAATCAAACCAGCAAGCCTTATGACCATTACATAGTGTAAAACCTTTGCACCCATATCCATATGGGCATGACAATCTACCATGTGTGCTCCATCCAGCAAAGTCACCATATGCCATGAAGTCATGTACAGACCAAAGGTAGGCTGCCCTTAATGTAAATTCTTTCTTTACCGAAGCATCCCAAGAATTAACCCCTACCCATAGGTCCTGAAGTTCATCAACTAAGGGCTGCATTAGAATGTTCAACTTTTTACCAGGGTGCTTTGGACCAGGAAGAACAAGGGAGAGGAAAAAATATACTCCTGTCTTAAGAGTGTGCCAGGTGGTAAATTTAGTGGGGTCACAAAGACTGGCCAACATGAATAAGGAGCAGCATTTAGATTAAATGGTGTGAAACCATCAGTTGCTACAGCTAGTCGCACATTTCTTCTATCTGATTCAAAGTCAGGGTTGTCTTTATCAAATTTCTGCCAAGCTTCTCCATCACAAGGTGCACCATTTTACCATTCGTTGAGGGACTAGGTGCATACATTAGTTTGGCTGTTTCGGGTGTAGAAACAACCTTTGCAGCCTATCTTTGATGGGAAGATAATGCAAAACTTTGCGTGGAATTTTCTTCCCACCATCCTCATATCGATTGGCTTTACAAAATTCACATTTCTCTTTATTCTCATTATCTTTGTAGAAAAGCATGCAATTGTTGTAGCAAACATCAATTTTCACATATGGCATACCAAGACCCTCTAATAGTTTCCTTGATTGGTAGAAGTTGTCAGGTAGCTTAGAATCTGGAGGAAGAAGTTCATGGACAATATCTAAGATGCCATCATATTCTGCAATAGGCATGTTGTATCGTGACTTTACGGCAAGCAATCGAGCAACCGCGGACATGCATGAGTGATTGGTTTTCTCGTGCACCAACTCATCTGCACTAGCGACCATCCTGTAGAAAGCTTTAGCATATGGTGTTGGTTCATCTACTGCAGGTGGATGGGCCCTAGCTAGATCAACTAGCATTTCATCCATATGGTCGGTCTCATCAAAACCCTCTCTATTTACTGCATTGTCAAATTCAGTATGACTAACATCCCCTCTCCATGCTCTGTCCATGTTTCATAGCCTTCCTTAAAACCATGCTTACATAGGTGCAATTCTACAGTTTTTCTTGGGTGTCTAAAATAGTTCCGGCACTTGGCACAAGGACACTTGATGGTACCATTTTGAGCTACACCCGGAAATGCAAATGCATGATTCAAGAACACAGTGCTTTGATTAATCCATTCATTAGAAAAGTTACCACGCTGCCAACCACTATACATCCATGAGCGGTTTGACATGTTAATAAGTTCTATATTGAAAGATTAACATGTTAGATTTCTGTTTAGTATTATTTTAGATCAGAAAATCTACACTGCATGAAAACCACACTATTTTAGATCAAGAAACAATCAAAGATTTGTTTTTTATTAATATAGAACTAAACTACAGTTGTCCATAAAACGATCTGGGTTCACCATTCTTTAACATTGCTCAAGTGAAGTTCTCGCTGAATTGAATCACAGCCAAATGCCAAAGGAAAATAAATGCAGGCAACATCACAACGAGAAAGGAACATAGATTAACCTTGATTTTGGAACCAGGAAGCTCAGCTCACGGGCCCTTCACCTCCAGCGTGGATCCTGTCTTCTCCAGATCCAGTGTCACCTGCCTTCCGCCGGACCTCCACTGCTCGCGTGTTTCTCGATGGAGCAGCAGATGAGTTCTTGAATGGAGACTGTGGAATCCTAGACTCCTGTTAGTTATCCCAATAATGAAGATCTTAATTGTTAAAAGATCTATCTAACAAGGGTCCGAACTATCAAGTTGTAACAGAAGCTGTACAAAGAAACAGTATGTAATATATGTTCTCCTGCATCCAAGACTCAATAGTCTACGTACATCAATTAGATACGGAACGTGCCTATAATAGAGACTGATTTGTCTCAAATAAAATAACTCTATATTGCCATTAACAGGTGTGATAACTGATACATGCACAGCTCAGTTAACAGGAAGAATCAATCGATCTATAGTGGAAGACAGGAACACACCTGTATGGAGACTGTGGAGGAGCTGAGTGGTGACCCGAGGAGCCGCGGCGTCCTGTCCGTCTCAAGGGCGGCACTTGGTGTGGAGGAGCTGCAGGGGAGCCATGGCGGCGTGGAGTAGCAGAGAGGCGGACGAAGCGGGGCGGCGTGGTGGAGGGCACAGATGGGGTTGCGGACGGCGTAAGGGAGGCCGACGAGGCGGGGCGGCGTGGGGGAAGTTGGGGACGGCGGCGTGCGGTAGCTCCGTGGGAAAGATGGGGGCGGCGTGAGAGGGAGACCACGCCCACGCGCAGGAGCTCCGTGGGGAAGATGGGGGCGGCGGCGTGGGGGAGGGTGAGCAGGAACGGTCGGCGTGGGGAGGCAGCGCCGGGCGCAGTGGAGAAGAAATTGTTGCGGTGCTTGGGAGAGGTGGGAGTACCGTGCGGTGTGGTGTGGGGAGATAGGGTTTGCCTTTTTCTTTTTTTTTTTTTTTTCCCTCTTCTACGGCGTGCAGCCACTTTTTTTTAGCATCGGCCACCTGAAGAGCTTGAAGGCATAGGGGATGCGGGATGGAATTTTTTTGCGGGCTTTCGGCCCGCCTCTCATTCTTTGGAGGGATGGCGGAAACTTCTGGCGGGCCTTTTTCAGCATTTTCGCACCTTCCAATAATTTCCCTGTGTGTAATTAAAATCAGCGTCAGGGTAAATTCAAAAACCGACAGAGTAATTATTTACCCTGTCGGTTTCTTAAACACACAGGTTAATACAAACTTCCCTGATGGTTATTCATTTTCCCTGTGTGTTTTACGATAACCGTCAAAAAAATTGAATTTACCCTGATGGTTTTCTCAATAACCGTAAAAAAACTGAAACTATCAGGGTATTTCGACTTTCCAGTAGTGATACATATCATTTACCATGACAACTTATATTAATAATTCCAGCATAAATGAACCAAAAAAAGGGATCGTCCAAATTTATTTGTTCAGACTCAGTGTTAGAGATCATATGACAAACTTCAGACTTCACTTTGGCTTCAAATGGGGTGAGTATCCAAAAATTATTCTTGCTGTTCAAACCCTTCTTACTTCACTTTCCATTCAGGTTTCCAGATTGGAGTACAAGCCTGGCCATTCAGGTTTCCATGATATTTGTCTTCTTCTCTACTATAATAGACCAATCAAAATTATACTAGGTCCCCCCTGGAAAACGTCCCCCGCTGAGAGCTTTCAACCATTATGCACCCAGGAAAATGCACACATGAATTCATCTCCATTAAAATCAAGAGCTAATAAAACACCTAAATCAAATCCGATGGCCACGATTCGATGTGGGATGCCAGGCTTCTCACGCATCCACACCCCGCACGCCGACGCCGCGCCCTCGCTCCTCCCCGCATCCCGCACGCCCCTCCCTCTCCCACAGACGTGGCTCCTCCACCCCCCACGCGTGCGCACTCGTCACTCTCCTCTCCCACCAGGCCATCGGCCGCCAGGCATCGCGGCAACCAAGGCCGCCCAGCGCGGCCAGAGACGAGAAGAAGTCCTCGCTGCCGACCATGAACGCTTTAGCGGCATCCGCTCCTCCATCGCCGCCGCCGGCGGCTAGGGTTAGGGTTTCAGGCAACGGGGAGCAGGCCTCCAAATCCAGCGGCGGCAGGCCCGGTCACGGCGTGGACAAAAAATCCATGAGCAGCCCCGAGCGCTGGGGCCGTCGGCTGCCAGACCGGGCAGCAGAGCCGCGGGGGCCGCCGCGTCGCGCGGGCTCAGCACTGCTGGGCTAGATGGATGCACTTCGGCCAGTCGCAAGCTTGCTTGCCTGCTCTTCCACCTCTCCGGCCGCCCCTAGAAAAATCTCACCATTCGAGAAGCCCAGTGCCATGGTCAAGAAGGTCCGTGCGGAGTTGCAGCTCGAGGGACAGGGCACCATGGTCCTGACACCGGCAGGTAAGTAAAAGCCAGCCAAGTCCCAATTTCGTTTGTGTCGATCCTCAATCGGGCATTGACTTCTCCTCGGCACCTTGAGCATGCAGGGATGAGCTCAAGAACCTGGACTCGGTTCCTCTTGCTCGACGAGTTCTCAGGTACGCGGAGAGGAACATCGACTTGTTTTTGCCCAAAATTCCAGTCTTTGCAAATTAAATGCTTGGATCATTAGAATCTTCGACTTGGCTCTAAATATTGCTCACCCTCTCTGTTGATTCGTCTTGTATTCCCAAAGCCTGCTTGTTTCCCTGACCACCCCCAAAAGGGATTCGAGACGCCCACGAGCTGTTTCTTAAAATGTCCATTTCTGAATATTTCCTATAGCGGATTCTTGCCTTTTGTCTCTATCAATCAAGCTTCTTGTATTAGCTGGTCCAGCTCATGTGCTCATTTATCATGTACTCATTTTAGATCTCGACTCAGACTGATTTACATTGGGTTCTCCTTGTGGTTTAGAATTTTAGTTTTTTTCCTCCTTTTTCAGTAGCATCCCTATGGTGAAGATCCAGGAGCTACATCTGCTCAGAGGCGTGTAGAATGGTGTGGCATGTGAAGATTTATTTAATTATAGTTGACTGAACATTCTCTATCGTTGGTTAATACAATCTCTAAGTTCTAATGAACTAATCTAGGAGCAGCCGTAATACTCCTAGAAAATTGACATGTATAATGTTTTTTCTTACCTGAAACAATTATATTGTCTTTTTTCTATAATGTAATTTGGTTGTTTTAGTATGCATATATTTCAGTTTTAGTATGTATATACCTGAATGTTGTTTTGTGGATTATTCGTTAAAAGTACCATTCACACGCATCCTATACACCTGTATAATTGTGAGAAACTGTAAATGTGCAAAAGCTTATCCAGAGGTCCACGCAATTGCTATGGCAAAATAGGTGAATCAGTGGCATATAGAATTCAGTATCTTTAGATATTCTTGCTTGAATATTTTGAATTTTCTCTTTAGGATTTTTCACCGACTGACTGAACATGTGTGTGTGCTATTGGAATTCCATTCAGCGTGTTGAAAAGTCCCCAGTGGTCTGAAATGGTAGCAGCCATAAACAGAGCACCTATGGAATACAAATAAGGCAAGAACCACTCTTCTAGATGCATGCAAGAGAAACGTGGAGCAGAACCTAGCGCAAGTTACAAATACATGGTACGCAGTGATTTTATACTTTGTCATCTTCTTTTCATTACAAGTATTTCTGATAGAACCTATGGTATGGTGGATTCATTGCTTCTCACTATATTTTCACAATATTGCATATGAAAATTTCTTTATAGAATCAATGGATTAGCTCGCTCGGCCGGCCGGCGCGGTCCCTGGCTCAGAGGCCGGCACGGGTGGATAAATGATTAGTTGATTCTCTTCAGTTGTTGATATTGTCGCAGTGTACAACGTTTAAATGAAGCAAGTACTTGATATATTGTGTAATTGCAGCGAACAAGTCTGTTGACTCTTTTCAGTGGTTGTATTTTGAGCTTGAGGACAATGGTGGATTTAGCCTTTTAGTTTCTTGATTTGTTTGAGTATGTTCTACCGTAGCGTTAGCACGGGCATTATACTAGTATGACGTACGCCTCGGCATACATGCACCGCCCCGTATTGTTGGCTGTACGCCGGGTAAACAGGAACAGAGGGAGTATCTATAAGAAATATAATTTTATATATATTTCCTATATGTATAGAAATTATCACGTGATAATTTCTAGATTAGGCTACCCTTAGCGCGCTAAATGGGGGAGACTTAGCACCATTTTTTTTTTTTTTGAGGGGAGAAGACTTAGCACCAGTTAAGCAGGGACGCAGACGGTCTGAAATTAACATGGGCTTCTCAAGATTCCATCACGGGGGGCCCAAAACGGCCATATTGGAGGGACCGGAGTACAGCATTGCCGAAGCCTCTGACGTTCTCCTCGGCGGCTCCTCAACTCTGCTTGTCCCTCTGGACTCTTGTTCTTCTTCCCTTCAGATGTTGGCCTGTTGCCTCTTGGCGTTTCCAACCCCACTAGTGGAGGGGGAGACCGGCAGTGTGAGTATGCTGTCCGTGTCAGTCGTGTTCAAGCATTCAACAAACTGCTGCTGCGTTTATTTCGACTTGACTATTCAACTTAATTTGTACTGCTAGACTATTCAGCTGTAGTGTGATTCTCTGTTGACATACTAGTGATGATTATTTGATGCAAGAAACAGGGCAGAAACGTAGTAGAAACTACAACTTTCATGTCAAGTAGTTTGCCGGCCATGGGAAGAAAAGGTCCAATGCTTAGACCTCCACAATACCCATAGCCTGCTCCTGCTCGCAAAGATCTCGTGACTCGTGAGAACCAAACACTAGCGCTGGTTACCTGAGTGGGAGATTGTGGAAGCTGTGGTTCCATTTTGTCTCAAAATTGTCAAGGTAACGAGGAAGTCTCAACCGTCCAGAGGAAAGAGACGCCCCTCTGATTTCATCCTAAACAAGAGTACCTCATGCCTTCAAACCTGGGCTGCTTACAGGTGTTTCGTCGATGGGAGTTCATCGCTGCCGTCGCGCCATGACAAGCTTCGGTACTCAGGTAACTAAGATCTCATCTTTCTAACAAGCATGATGGGTAAACAATGGATGGCACAGATCGATGGGCAGGCAACTGCTCTACAGTTCTGAAGAAGCATCAATCTGTTTTTCGACATTTGACGATTCTTGTAGGACAGGACAATCATTTTCTTTTCATATTGTATATATCCTTTGACGGACATAGTTTAATGGCTTTTGCCTAACTTTTACTCACCATGCTTCTTGTTTTTGCAAAATTTGCACTCCTCATTGTGATTTTTTTCTGCCTTTCAGCTGTTAAACATGATAGAGATTATGGCAAAGTCTGGCCTTTGACGCTCCAAATAATTCATACAAACTAAGCAGGAATTTGTTGGTCTTTCATTACATCCCAGAATCATCAAGTTGTGCCATCCAACTGCAAGGGTTTTTCTTGGTCATAAAGTATGAAATCAGGGCCATGCAATACTTCAACATGTTGGCGGCCTTCCTTTTATTGCTTGCCTTCCCTTGTCACCCAACTGTTGATGGCCAGCTCTCTACTATAGCTCCCCCACGCTCTTGGGAAATTATCAGTATGCTAGCCATATCTATGAATGGAGAAAACACTAGTATGGCACCTGTCCTTGTAAATAGTACAGAATTATATATATAGGACCATGTTTGGCTTCTACACCACAGATGGAGGACATTCGTTTATCCTGTCTGTAGTGTTTTTGGGAGCCCCATCTCCAGTCATCTGGTCTGCCAACCCCGATAATCCAGTAACCCGCAACGCCATCTTGAATTTCACCAGTGAAGGAGACTTGCTCCTACATGAAGCTGATGGCGCAATAATATGGACCACAGATACAAACAGCTTGTCAGTTGCAGGCATGAGACTGGATGATTTAGGAAACCTTGTGCTCTTCGATCAGAATAACACCACTGTGTGGCAGTCCTTGGACCACCCAACTGACACTTTGGTCTTGGGGCAATCACTTTGCAGGGGAAATAACCTCAGTGCAAAAACCTCAAGCACAAAATGGCCAGGTTCAAGGGTTTATCTTTCTGCAGAGTTGGATGGGTTGCAGTACTCTTTCAAACCAGCAGCCTACACACAGTTATTCCAAGCTACTACAACATCAACCAACGCAACACAAACTTGTTATGCATTTGTCAATGGCAGCTCTGGGTTCCCATATAAGATCTTCTCAATACCGTTAGCAGGATCAGTGCAGTTGATGAGGTTAGAGTCCGATGGGCATTTGAGGGTTTATGAGATGGGGATATCTTACCCAGATGGGTTTGATGTACTAAGCAATTTCATGAACTTTTGCGACTACCCATTGGCCTGTGGTGACTTTGGTGTTTGCAGTAATGGACAATGTTCTTGTCCTAGTTCCAACTATTTTAGGCTCCAAAATGAACGGCATCCAGATGCTGGGTGCATACCCTTAGAAAGCATCTCCTGCGACGATATGCATGACCACAAGCTGATACCACTCAACAATGTCTCTTACTTCAGTTACACCACGTTCCAGTCATTAGCCACTCGAGTCAGCTCTGAAGGTGTCTGGCTGCATTCTTGCAATCTTGCTTATTGGATTGCTCCTGCAGAGTAGTTCTTTTTCAGAGTTCGAGTTACGGTGAGGATGCTGGTAACTGCTTGCTGTTATCAGAGCAGAACCTAATTTTGTTTACAGATGGTTCATCAAATGATCTTTTGGCACTGTTCAAGACACAGGACAAGCACTAAGTAAAAAGGAGGAACATTATTATTGGCTCCACAGTTGCAGGTTTTTCCATTACATCAATTTTTGTTTATGCTGTCATATGGAAAAAATGCAAGAAAGACGAGGAACCCCTGTTTGATGGCATACCAGGGATACCAAAGCGTTTCTCCTTTCATGAGTTGAAGGCCGCTACCAGCAACTTCTCTATGAAGCTTGGAGCTGGTGGTTTTGGGTCGGTTTTCAAAGGCACAATAGGCAAGGAAACCATTGCTGTGAAGCGCTTAGAGGGTGTCAATCAAGGAATGGAAGAGTTCTTAGCAGAGGTCAAGACAATTGGCAGAATCCATCAGCTGAACCTAGTCAGGTTGGTAGGATTCTGTGCTGAGAAATCACATAGGCTCCTTGTCTATGAGTACTTGTCCAATGGCTCATTGGATAATTGGATCTTTCACACGAGTTTAGTTTTCACTCTTTCTTGGAAAACCAGACGTAATGTCATGTTGGCCATTGCTAGGGGTTTGTCTTACCTCCATGAAGAATGTGAAGAAAAGATTGCTCATTTACATATCAAGCCACAGAATATTCTCCTGGATAACAAATTCAATGCAAAGCTCTCAGATTTCGGACTCTCGAAAATTATCAACAGGGACCAGAGCAAAGTTATGACTCGAATGCGAGGAACCCGTGGATATCTAGCACCTGAGTGGCTGGGATCAACAATCACTGAAAAAGCAGACATCTACAGTTTTGGGATCGTGATGATCGAGAAAATCTGTGGTCGCCAAAACCTGGATGAATCCCAGCCAGAGCAGAGCATCCACTTGATAAGTCTGCTCCAGGAAAAGGCAAAGTCTGGCCAGCTATTTGATTTGGTGGACAGTAGCAGCGATGACATGAAATCCAATGTCGAGGAGATCATGCAAACGATGAAGCTTGCATTGTGGTGCTTGCAGGTTGATAGCAGCAGAAGGCCCTTGATGTCAACAGTTGCCAAGGTGCTGGAAGGAGCGGTGAGCATGGAGGCCACACCTGACTGCATTTTTGTCCCCAGTTTTGCATCAATTAATACTGATGTGGCAGGATCAATTTCCTCCTATGTATCATCTGAGTCGCAATTATCAGGGCCTAGGTGATAAAATAACTGTTTGCCATTGCTTCAGTTGCCCATTTTGATTTCAATGCAGCATCTGAGGAAATTAAGATCCAGTTATATTTGGATGCAGCAGAACCTGTTCTCTTGCACAAACCAATAGTAACAGTTGAGATTGATGCATTCTTTTCATGCTTTGCGAAGAGAACAACAGTTTCACCATTGTTGTGATCGGGTTAGATGATGACAAGCTCGATCTATCTGGGCCCCTCTTTGGAACACACTGAGTTTCATGTATTTATTTATTTTCAATTGGCTTTAGCTTTGGCGTTCACCAACGTACAAGACGTTCTATGCTTGGGAACAATGTTAAGACATAACCTTATATAATGCAATACATTGGTGTCGTCTTATAGGCGGTCTCATATATTTTCATTCATAATTCCTTAATTACACATGTAAAATATAATATTTTGAATGGAATTACAAATACAACTCGTAAAATGGAGCACTAGTAGTCTCAATCCAAAATTTTCAGCTCATGAGGTGGTAGTGTCTTGAAACAATGACATGTTTCTCACTTTCACCTTTCTTATTGAAAACTATAAAAGATATTGTGATATTGCATAAGCCAACTTATGAGATGGTTAACGTGTACTAATGTATTTGCGCCTTGGTACTGTCACACTTTTTTTACACATGGTACTGTCACACTTTTTATTTTATTTTTAAAGGACTACAAAAGCTTTGTCGCAAGTTTTGTTATTAGAATGATTAGTCTTTGGGAATTCTGTGTGTAAGCAGTCAGCGTGATTCAGCTTTGGCCGTTGGGCAGTGAACACTGAGCAGTTCTATTTTTTAATGAAAAGGAAAGTTGGCAGTGATTAGTACAAGTATTTGAGTGACAGTCTTACCTTTGATCATGGAGCATTATACTTGAGTTGTTTTTTTAAACGTAATTATTATACTTGAGTTGTGAACTGAGTGAACTTCAGCTGGCTGTCCTTCTAGATCAAGTCTTATACTTAGCACGAGTGCTTGTATCTACGGCCCTTTATTGGATAGGTAATGTGTCCGTTGTCTTTATTGTGTAGGCGCTTGTTGAAGTAAGGTATGCGTGTGTTTATATGGGTAAGTATATGTTGGTTATAAGTCTGCCTATATAACACCCTAAAGGACTGTATATTTATAATATCGTAGTCCTGGAAGGTAAAAAAGTACAGTTTTATTCCTTTGCAGGCGACTGATAACCTGCATAACCATCAGTCACCCGTGTCCGCCCCCACGCCTAGCGCACTGTTCATCTTCCCCACCGCGACGCTCGCACCCGCGCTCGAGCTCACCCCACCCCCTTTTTCCCCAACTCCGGCGGACTTAGAAGAGAAGGGAACTGGCGGGAGAAAGGCCGGCCAGGCGGTGGGGACGGCGGCAGGGTGGTTTAGGGGCCTAGCGGCGGTGGAGGCAGCCGGGCCAGGTCAGGGCAGGAGAGCTCCATGGCCAGAGCTCACCGCAAAAGAAGAAGGGGGGAGGGGAAGAAGGTGGCCGGACGCGCGAGGACGAGGAGGCGGCGGGGGCGAGGACGAGGAGGGACGCGAGGAAGAAGAGGGACGGGAGGTTGTAGATGACGGATGGAAATACAAATCCTCAGTCGACTGTTGCGGAAACAGACAAAAAAAACTAATGCCACACCGCCGGTGATTCTTAATCTACAGCCCATGGTTGTACTGTTGTAAAGAAATCTGCACACCTTCTTGCACATATTGATGGCAGTGCTGGACTCTTTTATAGTTTTGTCTTCCCTTTGTCTTGCAGCAACACTAGAACATCTGCCGTCCTTCGGGCGCCCTGCCCGTGATTTGAAGAATAAAAGATAGTTTATGCTTGGGAGACATGCGACGTAATAACAGCTCTTGAAAAGGCTATTTTATTAATAAATAACTGTATATAACCATATATACTTTGCGGCTACAATCAACTAAGGCTGTGTTTAGTTGTAAGAATTTGGATTTTGGGGCTATTGTAGCATGTTCGTTTTTATTTGGTAAATAGTGTTTAAACATGAACTAATTAGGTTCAAAACGTTCGTCTCGCAATTTCCCATCAAACTGTGCAATTAGTTTTTCTTTTCGTCTACATTTAATGTTTCATACACGGGCCGCAAACATTCGATGTGACAGGTACTGTAGCAACTTTTTGGAAGTTGGGGTGGAACTAAACAAGGGCTAAGCTGGAACCATCTAATAATATTCTGAAAAATGCATAAGGATTGTCGAATAAATATGTCTAATTTTGCAATCTTCTCTCAAGGCTCATTCAACAGGCAACGCTCATTCCACGGAATCTCGTTACTTCTTCACTTTTCATCTCTGTCCTTTCGGCCATGCAAGAACTGATCATTTCCAACTACCTAAAATTTGGTCTATATGTTTTAATCATAAAAAGATTATCATAAGAAATCGTTAAAACACTAAGCCATTGGATGCATATATACACTTAATTGACATCTCAACATTTCCCTATGCATTTCCCTGTGCAGAATGAAGAATCTTCCGCAATTAAGAAATTGTAATCTGGAGATCCTTCAGTATGCTGCGAATAGCGAAAATCCTAATTTAGTTTTGTTAATTGAGTGACAACTAGTGTACTATCAAGGGCCTAAGTGTTTTGATAAGCTAGGTCTAGTACACGCCAAGAGTTGAGCAAGGAAATGCTACCATGGAGGAGATTTTGTAGGCCAAGATGGTGGTGTATTTGATTAAAAAAACATGAAAACAATAAAAGGCCGAGAACACATCAAAATGCAAATGAAGTATTTGATAAAAAAAACATGAAAACAATATAACACATAAATAAAGTTTCGGTGTAATTTATCGGATGTCTCCGAAGAGACAGTTTCGGTGTAATTTATGATGACCCTAATGGCTATTTTTTCATGATCACAATGGTACATCGATCTCATGGCCCAAGCCCAGCGCTAGGGTCAAAGGTGAAGGCCGAGCCTGAGCCCTGAGCCGAACAACTATTTTCTCCTCACCAGGCTAGGCCTTTTTTAGGCTCCAGTGTCCAAATGGCAAAACTGGGGGGCTTGAGCCCGTCCGATTTTGTTGGTCGGGCTGAAATTTGAGTTATGAGCACGCCCAGTTCGTTGGTTGGGCTTGGCCGTATCGAATTTTTGGGGCCGGGTCAGGTTTATAGGGCTGTGTTTCCCATGATGATCAAGTCTACAAACGATACATGGTTGACACGTGGGCCCAAGGAAACCACTAGATCCTCGATGGTAATGGAAAGCGACAAAACTTTTTAAGCTAAAATCCAGTAAAAAATTTGCATTAAAAACTCTACCCAAATATAAGGAATTCTAGGGACAAAATCTACTTTGCATTAAATATTAGCATAAATTTTATATGTGCTATATCTATATTAATGACGCTAATAACAGCGTCATATTAGAAAATGAAGTGAGGGTATATACATTTTGTATTCTCTCTTGATATGTCCTAAAATATCTAGAATAACTATATTACAGGACAGAGTGACTATAGTGCAATAAACAGTGCTTAAGGTGACAATTATATGGCTTCAAAACATGCTGTTTCGTGTAATTAAATAAAAAATATTTACACCTTTGTGGAGCATATAGGCAAAAAAAAGGCATGCATTCTTGTCAGAAAGGGAGGGGGAAGACCGAGACATATCCCCTCTGTCCCTAAATATGTCGTTTTCGCTTCTCGATAAACAACTTTGACTAAATATATATTAAAAAATAGTAATATTAATAGTACATAATTAGTATCATTAGAAAGATCTTTGAATCTAGTTTTTTAATAAATTTATTTGGAGATACAAATGTTGCACGTATTTTCTACCAATCGAGTCAAACTTGTGGCACGTACACCAACGGCGACAGTTATTTAGAGACGGAGGGAGTACTTATCGGATAGATGGGTGCCTTGCAATGAACAAAGGCCTTTGTTGTATTATTATTTGCAGGCACGATGTCATGTTTTTTGTTAGTTGAAGAAAGAATAGGTTGCTGTGAGTCTTATGGAACACTTAATTATCTAGCCTTTGATGCAGCATCTCACTTGACCTTTATTCAGAAATAAGAAAGTGATCCAGAAAATTAAAGTTATCAGTTTATCACACACTATAAATTGCAGCCATTGTCATGAACCTGCAGGCAACAACGAACATGACATGCGTACCACCCAGCTGTTTTTTTATTTGGTCCGTGATGCCATTGCCATCGTCAACGGAAAAAAAAAACTAAAGGTACTACTACTAGTAAACAAAAAGAATACAAAGCGTACTTTCCTGAGCTAATCAAACAATCTCTCATTGGCTTCTCTCAGTTAAATGATGTGATGGTTGGCATTGACACGAGATGCAATGGTCGTAAAGATTCCAGAAAGCAGGCTTGGTGTCGGGAAGCAATTATAAGTTTTATTAGTGGCCCAGAACTCATTGCCACTCAATCTGTCTAAACTAAACTCATACTAGAAATACATTTCTTTAGGCCAGAGAGTACCTTTCAGTAGTAAGAACCGGGCCGTTTCATTATGTATATATGCTCGACACGTAAGGACTTCTTTATTTCTATATATATTCTCTATTATAGTTTTTTTTAAGAATTACACAGTACAACGCAGATGAGAATTTTTTCTTTAGCTAGACATGATGCACTGACAGATTAGGTCGAGCTATTTCTTAACATCTCTACATTTTCGGACGGGTAGGTCGGTGACCACAATGAACAGGTTTAGGGCTCGTTTGGATGGCGCCCTGGGAGGCAGGTGCCTTCCAGTCAACCGATCCTATCGGACGCCTGGGAGCCTTGCCTGGGTGCTTAGCTGCCTGCGCGTAGCGGGCTATCTGGCCCCGGACATGGCCCCGGACATGACGTGCCGGTTGCCACCCGCGGTGCCCCTCCCAGGCTCCCCTGTTCGAGGAAAGCGGCCAGGAAACGTGCGGAAATCTTGGCGCTGAAGAGCGGCCACGGCGTCTGCCTGGGGCCGCGCGGAAATGGACGCCGCGCGCGCAGCC